CCCCAAAACCCCAAAACCCCAAAACCCCAAAACCCCAATATTGAAGAGCTCAGTTGAAAAGCGTTAAAATTTATTTTTAGTAGAAGAAAGCTTTATCTGGCTCTGACAAGCTGAAGGAGGATGGGGAGCTTTGTTCTGGTTCAGGCTTTGGTGCAGGGGTCGGGGTTGGAGCAGGCTCTGGAGCAGGAGCAGGTGTGGGCTCTGTAGCTGGAGGAGAGGGAGGTGAAGCTTCAGGCTCAGGCTCTGGGGCAGTATTCTCAGTGCTTGCTTCTCTGGGTTTAACAGTCTTTTCTTGCTGGGCTTTTGTTTGATATTCGTTAGTTTCTGGAGAGTAAGTATCGAATTTCTCGAGAGGAACATAATATTCATACGGGTTATCTGCTAAGACCTTATTATATAAATCTCATTTTGGAGCCTCAATGTTATACAATATTTTCTCCCAATTTCTCACATACTCTTCAACAACTCTAAGAAGTTTGTCTGGTTCCCTTTCTGTTCTAAATTGTCTCCCTGTTTGGTTATGCATTACTACAATTGTTGGGCCAGAATACAAGTCATCATAATAGATATTCAGCTTTTTAGCGGCATCATCATAACTATAAGCATTTCTATTATAATGAGAGACATCTGCTTCTGTGTAGATTATGTTAGGATGATTCTGACAGAGGCACTTCCATAAAGTCCCCTGAACATTCTGGTTAATCAAATTTTGGGCCCATTGACCTTGATAATTCTCATACCAAATTGTAACGATAATATTGTTCTCCTCGTTTACAAGAGTTTCCAACAAGTCTTGGCCTGTTTCTTCGGGATAATCTAAAGCGTAGCATTGATTAGTATCCAATCTGTTCAGCTTATCTGGAGTATAATATTGCTTCTTAGGCTTTGTTGTCTGCTGTTCAGTATCTTTCGGAGGATAATACACTCTTTGAAGGGCTCTCTCATCCCACAAAGCTGGCCCAGAATTTTTAAAATTAGGTTTTTCTATACCATATAACTCCATTAATGACTTACCTCGATCAAGTTGATCTTCAAAGGTTGATTCTCTATAGGGACCATAACGAGGATATCCAGCAACAAAGCTGAGAATCACCAATACTCAGAACAAGAGTTTAGCTATTTTCATTAATTAAATTTTATTTCAAATTTAGTCAAAATTTTGGGGTTTTGGGGTTTTGGGGTTTTGGGGTTTTGGGG